AGCAATAAAATTATTCAAACCATGAGAGGTATAGGGCTATTACCGATAAAAGAAATATCTTACTTGAAACCAACTTTATTTCTGTGATACCACTTGATAGTGGAAATCAAGTTATGAGAGTTTAAAAAGCAATTCATTCTGATACATTTGTGAAATAGAAACAATGATACATTTGTGAAATAGAAACAATGATACATTTCAAGTGCATAGTTAAGAAATAGTGGGGGTATATTATTTCTATTAAAGTCTTATATCTGGTTAATGCTTTGCTTACCACAACAGAAGGTTAGAAAATGAAGTCCTTTATAGATTTATAGCTTTGTAGAGTGAGTTGTGGACACTCTTGATGAGTCTATCTTTGCTAGTATAGAAGTAAGAGGTCGCTGATTACGAATCATATCAGTAAGATTCTGAGTACTAGCTAGCAAGGCCCATTAAAGCACTGCTAAATTTAGAATTTAAAACTCATAAATAGTGTGAATATGGTTTCTTATGTCCCATTTTCAATCCAAAGCTTAAGGTTAATCCACTTATGAATATACATGATATACATCCCAAAGTTTACATTTTTGACTTATAATTTTATGATTTGTATTTTTATTTTATGTAAATTAGTGGGGGATTGTTATATATAAGGAATTTACTATAAATTAAAAAACTCTTCAAGATAACTGAAAGGGTATTTTAGCATCCTTTCAATGTCTATATATACTTCTCTATATTGAAGAGTAAAAATAAGAAAATTTTAGTGCAAACAAAGTATTAAAATTTTCTTTCTCTTTATTTTCTGGTTGAGTTCTAACTCTTCAAGTAATCAAGAAGTACAGTCTTGATTATTTCAAGTAATAGGTATTGTATCATGGACATAGAATTCCGTGAATATATTTACACCATAATTAAAAAATTATCTATACGTTTTCTTGGAAACTGTCTTGTCTGATTCTGTTTTATTCAAATCTTATTCAGTTCTTTGTCTTTAGTATAACACTCTTGGTGGGATTAATCTTTTGATCACTCTCAAAGAACCTTTTGATTTCTAAGGTATAATTATTTGTGCAGCTTTAGTAGTATATTTAGATATCATGTAACAGTGTACACAAACACACAAAAAGTGTTTTCACGTTATTGAAATCCTCTTGTAATTCTGCATACATGTATGTACACAGGATGCCATCCACACTAATCCAAGCTTCGTATTTGTATTTTATTGCATTAGGTGGATTTGCTAGGAGATGAACTGGATCTACTTTTTGGGTTGCTTGAGAAGATCTATATCGCACTGGATCACTATTCACCAGTTTTGCAGCATTATTCTGGGGTAATTAACTTCCTGTTTGAAGTAACATTATCTTTTTTTTTTTCTATTTTGCTTTATTCTCTATTGTCTTAATGTAGTTTTGTTTGACACTTTTGAATTTTTTTCTCTTTTTAATATATTATGTTTGCAAATTCTTCTACCTAAAACAGCAGGCAAATTGCTCTATTGTCATAATGAATCTTGGTTGATAGTGAAGTTCCTATTTCCTTCCTAACATATTTCCATACTGTTGAAATTTGAAGGTAAAAAAAATTCAAATTCTCTTTCACTGTTCAAGGACTTTAGTCCCACATTATAATTGAAAGACTTCTCCTTCAATTCTTTTATTTTCTCCTTAAAAATCTTAATAATAAAGGTTAAGAAGTAAAGTTGTTTGATTCCATGAGATCGAGGAATACACTTTGAACAATCCTTGCATGCCTCTGGGATCACTTTTTTACTTCAACTTTTATACATTTAATCTGTTTTAATTTAATCAGAGTTTATTTTAATATTACTGGTCGAATACATAGTTCATTCAGCTATATCATTTCTTTTTGGGCATTATTTGACATGTACAAGGTTACATAGTTGGGCAATTTTTTTCCACTCATGTTGTGTTCTTGACACAAAATTACTTTTAGAAGTAATGTATCAATCAAGAAAGTCCTGTTCCATAGAATTCATGGTATCGTTTATTTAAGGTTTGCACAAGTATTCTTGTAGAGTGTTTCTTGACCCAAAGGAATGGAGATAGAAGAAAGTTTATATGTCGTATATAATCTATCTGTTGATTTTTATTATTTGTCCTCTCTGATATATATAACAGATACATTGTTTGGTTGCAAGACTTGTAGCTACTTAATATCCTTTCTTGATTTCAATAAATCATAGTTTTATCTCTAACTCTTGAAAATAACATAGTAAAATATAAGGTTGATGTGTTGCACATATGTTTCTTATTAAGAAATCAATGCATGGTTATTTCATCATATTCCTGATGCTCTGGCATTCAATTTTTATTATGGGAAATTAAGTTTTAATGGATCTTCCATCTTGATATGATTGTTTTTGGCTGTGCTTCTCTCAGATAACTGAGGTCTTAAGAATGATTAGGAGAGAAATATACGGTGAAGTGGCTAATACATCCAGGCAGTAACAACAGTGCTTTCTTCTTCTGCAATTATTTGCACATATCATGAGCAAACATATGCTCAGGTAAAGTATATTTTTATAAGTCAACATGCTTGCTTCTCTTCTTATAGGTCAATATGCTCAGGTTTTTAAAGCTCTGTTACCATTAGTAAAACTTCATAACAAGTTTTAAGTTTCCATTGCATTTCCAGCTTAATTTGCTATCAGAATTCCTTCTACCGATGATTGTAACTCCTGCAAGTTAAGTCGATAAAAAAATGTGAGCTAGATTTTTTGTTAAATGCTAATTATTATCTTGGAATTCGGTGGCTTTTTTTGTTTGTTTATTCATTGATTTATCAATTGCTAGCTTGATCTTGAAAAATGTATATATATTATGTATATATATATATAAACATATATATATATATATATGTATATATGTATACATGTATACATATATACATACATACAGATATATATATATATACATATGTATGTATATACATATACATATGTATGTATATACATATACATATGTATGTATATACATATACATATGTATGTATATACATATACATATGTATGTATATACATATACATATGTATGTATATACATATACATATGTATGTAGTATATATACATATATATACATATGTATATATATATGTATGTATATACATATACATATGTATGTATATACATATATGTATATATATATATATATATATATAT